ACTCTAAGGGCTGGAGAGAATGGAAAGAACAATCAGTCCAACAAGAATTTCATACCAACCATCCTTGAGTCACCTGCACCAGCAAGACTGCCATCTACCCAGAAACACCCACCTTGAAAGAGTGGAAGATACTGTAATGTACCCAGGTGAGCAGGCTTCCTGCCAAGAAGCAATGCTCATATGTAAAACAGGAAAAGGGTTTCACTAGGAATGGGGTAACTGATGACAAAGTTTCAGCAAGGAGGGCAAAGAAGTTTCTTTCCTCCCTAGGCTGTGTCTGTTCTGAGCAGACAGAACAGATAGAAAGTATCTCTGATACCTTTTAGTTTCCTTGCCTGGATCCTCTTTCCTGCTCACACCTTAAATGCTGGTCTCCCTGAGTAAGGGACTTGTCCTTCCCCCTCCTCACTATAAATCCTCCCCTTGGACAATTTCAGTCACATCCATTGTTTTGACTCTCAAGCAAATGCTGGTGACTCCTAAATTCCTATTTCCTGTCAGACTACTTCTTTGAGCTCCAGACCCATGCAACCAACCGTTGACCCAAATCACAAACTAAGGTATCACCATAGGCGCCTCCTTTTGCATCAATTCTCACAATCCACTGAGTACTCAACCTCCTCCTAATATTTTCCTAATATCTATTTTCTCCATTCCTAAAGATCACCTTTAAGAATCCCTGGAAATACAAAGTACATTCTGGGGGAAAGGACGGTAGCTTCTCATCAGATCCCCAAAGGGGTCCATTGTCCACAAAAGATCAAGAACCATTATTAATTTCTCCCCTTTGATTCCTCTTCCACCCTGTCAAAATGTCCATTTAAAATGCAAATGTGAATTTAACATTCCCCTGCTTAAAATCCTTTAATGGTCTTCAGAATACAGTATGACCTCCAGAAAACTCCATAGAACAAGGCCCTTCCCACACATAACCTTCTTCCCCTCTGGCCTTATGTCTTGTTTTCCTCAACACTGTGGCAGATGATTCCAACTGTCATCACCCCTCAACCCCCAACCTGCGTCTCTGCATGTGTTGTTCCCTCTGCCTGGAAAGCCCATCCCTCTTAGCCTGCCTGGCAACCTCCAACTCATCTTTAAGACCCAATTCAAACTCACTTACCCTGTGACACTTCCCAGATACCAGCCTGCTCTCCTCTCAAGCAGACCTCATAACTACCTTTATCAGTGTTGCCAACATACTTTGTACACTACCTCTGCATTTATCACTCTGTACTGTGATTCCTTCTTCATAGGCCAGTCTTTGTAACTGACTGGGAGCACTGTTGAGGGGCTAGACCATGTATATTCACTTATATAATCCCAGTATCTGGCAGAGTGCCTGACAAGCTGAATACAAGCTGAATCACAAATAAGTGAAACTAATAAGCAATTATAACTGTGGAGCACTTTACAATTCACACATCACATATTTTATCTCTTGATCCTTACAACAATACTGGTAAGGTAAACAAAGGGAGGAATTACTGGAGGTTAGGAGATCTTGCCAAGGTCACAAACTACAACTCACCACCTTCCTTCAGTACTAAGTGCAGGCCAAGGCCCACAGAAATATCTATTAGAAATTTAGTGGACTTGATGGACTTTGGCACTGACTCTAGACTCCAACAGTGAAGGACGGTCCAACTTTCCTGAGCTTGTGACTTTCCTGTGAATTTGCCTAGACACACTCAGGGCAAGGGTGTTAACCTTTTATTCTACTCTACTTTCCTCACATATCCCCACAAGTTAGGTCACCTCCCATGAAAAAGGCAATCCAATCCAAACAAAAGAGAACCACAGGATTCTTTTGTTTCTGTCTGCTTCATCAATGAGAATGAGCCAGAGCTGGGTACGGTGCCTTGCATACAATTGGCAGTCAATAAATATTGGTTGAATGAATAAAAAAATGAAGTATCCTTAAATGGAAAAAGGAAAGGAAAACATGATTAAGAAGAAGCTAAAGGCTTAGTTTAGATTGGTAAGGAGGGAGAAAAGCCCTGAGACCATTCTAAAGTACTGTCACTATCCAGGTCCCAGAGTCGGAAAGCAGAGCACACAACATCAGAGAACAGAGCACATGCAAACCAATAAATCCAGAAATAAGATGAGCTGTCAGAAAACTATGGCAGACAAAGGTAGTCTAGAATTTAAAAAAAAAAAAAAAAAAAGTGGAGATAGGTAGATCTTGCAGCTACAGAGAGTGACTTTATCAATGATTCCTGACAAAATTCTAGAATGTTATTTTTTGTGACAGTTCTTAAACACTTAGGTAATTTCTGGGTACTGGTATTGGTTCTCTAAGACCAAGACATCAACGTGCCAGAATAACCTAATTTCCTTTTTGGAAAGGGTTATTGAGCAAGAAAATAAGACAAATGCTAAACACATTTTTATTTTAGAAGGAATCTAAGAAAACCTCTTAAAATTTTGTGGATGAAATGGAGAAATGGAGGATAAAAAAAGAATGAAATTTTGTGGAATTACAGTTGTGAATAGTGAATAATGCATCAAAATTGTCCTGATTATGTGCTCTAGGACTCTTAATAGAGTGCTTATAAACCTTTGAATCAAAGAAAGTACATGATGGCAGGGAATCTTACCTAACTCACCAGTGCCTAGAACACTACCTGTTACATAGAAATGTGATCAATACATACTTTTGAATAAATAAGTGAATCCACAGAAAGCCTATTTACTAAATTTATAGATCATACACAACAAGAAGAGATAGTTAATATTTTTATCTTTATTTCATGAGGGACATGATAGCTTCTTCCAATATTTTTGTTATCTGTCTTTGTTGTCTGTCTTTCTATTTATCTACCTACCTAGAATGTAGTAGCTGGCTGCTGGCATAAGAGTTAAAAACAATTCAGAGGTTAACCACCAAAAAAAATAAAGAAAAAGAGAAAAGAAATTATGTAGAACAGGATTGGCAAACTACAGCCTATGAGCCAAATCCAGCCTGCTGTGTATTTTAATAAATAAAGTGTTACTGCAATACATGCATGCCCATTTGTTTGTGCCTTGTCTATGGCTGCTTCTGTACTACAATGGCCAAGCTAAGTAGTCACAACCAAGACCAGCCAGCCCACAAAGTTTAAAATGTTCATTATCTGGCTCTTTCCAGAAGGTGTGCTGAACACTGATCTAGAATGTTGAATATGAGTATCGACCTGGAGGGAACCATTAGAACACAAAGTTATAAAATTTGAATGCATGTGGTGATATATGTGGTGGAGACCAGTGTGACAGCAGAAGTTAAACTAGATGGCTTTCTAGCTCTGAGAGTCTGTGAAATCAAAAATGTTTACTGAGCACGGCTAGGATCCTGAGAGCAGATGAGAAGGCACTCAAAAGAATCCCCTCCCACCTACCTGGCCCTGCCCTCTCAGCAAATGCTCCTCTTGCCTCTTGGTGAGAATACCTGAAATGAAGACAGAGCTGAGGGTGGAGATGCTGTGTTTGAGTGAGGAAAGAACATCTCATAAGCTGAGTCCCCACATATCAGGCCACAAATACAGGGCAATTTTGGTACTCATGAAATTCTCCTCTGTTTGAAACATAAAGTGAACACAATTCCTCTGGGTCAGTGGGGAATCTAAGGAGGCATAGGTCATGGCCTGTACATGGAACTGTCAGCTGAGAAGGAGAGAAAAGACATATGGGCAGACGAAAGTTCAAATAACCATAGAAGAGGCCAAGAGTTAGAGAACATTCAAAAAAGCAGCTGAGGGAAGGCTGCAATTATTGCCAAGGACAGGGAAGCCTTTGTGGAGCTCTAGCCTCAAAAATGGCGCCTTAAAGAAGGACTACGTTTAGAGAGGCGGAGGGGGATGGGGAGGGCAACTTCACGCTTCACTGGGCAGTAATGCCCTAACGCCACTGATTTGAGAAACCTTCTCCCTGGGGCAGTAGTAACACCTCTGCTCCGGGCTATGACATACCATGTCAGTCTGGCAGCCTCACTGACTGGTCTGAGGGTTGTGTGCATTGCTCCCCTTGGCTGAATCTCCAGGGTCAATGTTCTGATCCTCAGGCAGTCAGCAAGGCTGTCTGTCCCGGCATCACTGCCAACCCTAAAGCAGCCACTGCTCAGCTGCCCTGTTGCTGGAAATCTCAGGGGAATCTCAAACTCTATGAGTGATCCAAGACAACGGGCAGGGAAGTGGAGACAGTCTGGAGAAACAAAAGCTCAAATGTAAAATACTCATTTCTGGTCTGCAGCCTGCCTTCTTCCCAACTCCACTTTGAAAGAACTATTCACCAGAGGCAACACAGACTGACTTGCCCTGGTACCCTCCAACAGACACATGACCAAGCCCTGATACAGATGCACACTGCTTCTTTCTTCTAATGTTCAAACCACCACCCACAGAAAATCTCAGAGGAGGCATGGATGACAACTCCATTTTACAAGCATAGACATCAAGGCACAGAGAAGGCCCACTATTGGTCCTGGATCATATTGTAAGTTGAGGGGCCAGTCGCAGAGACAGGATTGCATTTCACATATAGGAGGGGGAAAAACCAGTATTCAGAGTAATATTTAGGGACTTCTGAGGCTCAAGAAACCAGTGAGATTGCTTTCTAGTTCTGAGGCAGGGAAGGGGCAGGGTAAGTCTGCAGGAACAAATCCACATTCCAAGCAGTTGCCTTAATTATTTTATTGAAACCTGCTCCCTTGTCCACTCATCTGAAGCTCCACAGGCCAAGGTACTTTCAGGAGAATACCAGCTGAAATGTCCCACCCACCTCCAATTAGGTCATGAAATCAGGCCTCTATTTCTTTCCCCAAGACTTCTGAAGTGACAAAAATTATATAGCCAGAGCTACTGTGAAGGGCAGGTATTCCAAGTGCTCTGGGTTACCCATGAATAACTGGAGATAAGAAACTGGCAGGCTCTCACTCAGAGTTGCTGGTAGAGCTGGCAAAGAGCAAGGTTACGTGGAAGTCACAGAACGAGAGCTCCCAGAGCAGCAAGGTCGCCCATGCTTACCTTCCAAAGAGTGGATTCCCTGTTCCTTGGCAGTCTTGTAAACACTACTGAAATCGTCCCCAAGGTTTGGGTCAGCCCCAGCAGCAAGCAAGACCTGTACCACACTGGAAGAAATCAGAAAGACAGAAGTGTCAAAAGCAGGAAAGGTCCAGGAGGTAGAAACTCAGATCCAAAAGCATGTTTGGGGATTGGATCTCTGCTCATTTGAGTGATACAGTAGAAAGAACATGAACTCTGGGAGTAAAAGACAAGGGTAGGAAAGCAAGCTCTGAAACTTATCAGCTGAGAGGCTTCAGACAAGTTACTTAACACCCTTTTAAGGCCCAGTTTCCACAACTATAAATAAAAACTGTTTATCCAACAATTACTTATCAAATGCCTACCATGTTCTAGTCACTGTTCTAGGTGCTGAGGTCTGTGTCCTCATGGAACCATGACAGTCTGCTGGGAAGGACAGTTAAGCATAAAGTTACAGCAAAATGTGTAAAGTTATGATGGGAGATACACCATGTGCAGTAAGAAAACAAGGGAGGGGATCAAAAAAGGCCTTCCACTCCGTAGTATTTTGAAAAAACAAACAAACAAACAAACAAAAAACAAGTAAAGCAACATGACAACATGAATAAATTCATTTAAAGTTAAAGAATAAAGAAAGGCTTTCCAGTAGGACATCATCAAGACGATGGCATATAACTTTCTAGTACTTGCTCCCCCTCAGAAATATCAATTTGAACAACTAGCCACATGCAAAAATACCTTTACAAGAGCTAAGTAAACCAGGTGAGAGATTATAGCACCTGGGCATAGCACAGAAACAAAGAAAAGACATACTGAAGAAGTCAGAAAAGACAGTTTTACATTTCCCATGTCACCCCTTCCCCAACTCCAGGCAGTACAGTGTGGAGAGAGATACCCTCTGTGCAGGGGAAGGAAAGAGAAGTGAGCACTGCACTTTGTCTCTGAACCCAAAACCAGGCCTGACCCAGTAAAACTCAGTGCTGGGCAGGCTCCCTTAGACTGAGCCTCTAGGCTTGCCCTGGTGCCAGGCTGGATTCCACAGTCCCAGGGTCCAGGTCTGCCTGCCATACTTGGTCTCTGGGTCCATCCCATGGCCAGGCTGACCTTAGCAGACCCAGATTCCAGACTGCCCCAATGCCAGGCCAGCCCCAGTGATCACAGGCCCACCCTAGCACCAAGCCAGCCCCCATAGATTCAGGCTCCAGACCTGCCTTGCGGATTCAATATCCAGACCCACTCTAGAGCCAGGCCAGCCACCACAACATTAGTTATCAGGCTTGCACCAGTGGACCTAGCTTTTAGGTGCCCCCACCCCCAAGTTCCAGACCAGCCTGGAGCCAAGTCCATTCACAAAACACAGAGTTTCTGCCCTGCCCAGCACCAGGTCAGTACTCCTGGCCTCAGGCACCAGACTAGTACCTGTAGACATAGGCTCCAGGCCTGCCCAATCCCAGGTCAGTTCCTGCAGCCTCACACTCCAACAGACCCAGGAGCCAGGTCATCCCAGTAGACCCAGCACTGGGCTGGCCCCATGGCCACAGACTTCAGTAGACACAAGGTCCAGGCTGCTCCAATGGACCCAACAGATGCCAGTGCCAGGCCCCCATGGACTGAGGGTCCAGGACTATTCCTATATATCCAGGTTCCAGGCCAGCCCCTGTAGATCCAGGATCCAGGCCTAGCCTCCACAAACTGAGGCTCCAGGTCTGCTCTAGCACCAGACCAGTTCCTATGGACTCAGGCTCCAGGCCAATTTTAGCACCTGGATGGCCCCTGCAGATTCAGGCTAAAGGCCCATGCCAGCACAAAGTCAGCCTATACGCTCAGGCTTCTGGCTGACCCCTGCAGATACAGGCTCCAGTCCACCCCTGTGGTAACCAGGAAATGGAGGCAAATTACAATAAATTTTTTTTAATTTAAAGTAAAAATAATAAAGGGGTCAATTGATCAAGAGAATATAACAATTGTAAATACATATGCACCTAACATCACAGCACCTAAATATATAAAGCAATTATTACAAGATCTGAATGGAGAGATAGATTGTAATACAGTAATGGTAAGGGACTTCCATACCCCACTTTCAGCAACAGTCATATTATCCAGATTCAATCCTTATCCAATCAATAAAGAAAAATCTGACTTAAACTACACTTTAGACTAAATGGACATAATAGACATATACAGATCCAATCAATAAAGAAAAATCTGACTTAAACTACACTTTAGACTAAATGGACATAATAGACATATACAGAATATTCCATCCAACAGCAGTCGAACACACATTCTTCTCAACTACACATGGAACATTTTCCAAGATAGATCATATGTTATGCCATAAAACAAGTCTCAACAAATTTAAAGACTGAAATCATATCAAGTATCTTTTCTGACCACAATGGTAAAACTAGAAATCAACAAGAGGAATTTCGGAAAATTCACAAGTACATGGAAATTAAACAACATGCTCTTGAACAACCAATGGGTCAATGAAGAAGTTAAAGGGGAAATTTAAAGATATCTTGAGAGAAATGAAAATGGATCCACAATATACCAAAACTTATGGGATGCAGCAAAAGCAGTTCTACGAAGGAAATTTGTAACAATAAATGCCTTCATCAAAAAAGAAAAAAGATATCAAACAACCTAACATTATACCTCAAGGAACTAGAAAGAGATGAACAAACTAAGCCCAAAGTTGGTAGAAGGAAGAAAATAATAAAGATCAGAGCAAAAATAAATAAAATAGTGACTAGCAAAACAGAAGAGAAGGTCAACAAAATAGAGTTGGTTTTTTGAAAAGAAGAATAAAATTGACAGATCTTTAGCTAAACTAAAACAAAAAAATAAGACTCAAATAAATAAAATCAGAATAAAAGAGGAGATACTACAACTGAAAACACAGAGAAATATAATGCAAAAGATCATAAGAGGCTACTATGAATAATTATACACCAACAAATTAGATAACCTACAAGAAACTGATGAATTCCTGACACATAAAATCCACCAAGACTGAATCATGAAGAAATAAAAAGTCTGAACAGACCAGTAATGAATAAGGAGATTAAACCAGTAATAAAAAGTCTCCCATCAAAGAAAAGCCCAGCAAACTGGTATTAGCTGATCAACATTTAAGTGCACATATAA